ACTATTGAAAAAAAGTGAGGCAATTCCCACCTAGAGAAAGGTCTCCTGAATACACAGATTTTTTTTTTTTTATATCTTCACTTTTCACAGAGATATTCTCTGCTGAAGGCTGGTATATGAAAAGTGCAGCTAACTTCAAGTTCATAAAATATGGAATACCCACGCGCTTGTGTAACGATACGTGAAGTGGTGGGAGTGGTTATCCCTTCACAAGCACTCGGTGCGTTTTAAACAGAGCGCAGTATTTGGAATTGTTCATCGATCGCGGTTGTTCTTCAGTTCCACTATTTCAGTGCATTCACGATGTCAACGCTGACAAGTCTAGACGCTGCACGCACTGTCGCCGCAAACGTTAAAAAATTCTCATCGAGCTTTTACAAGGTAAAGTAATTTATAATGCAAGTGAAAGAGAGTACTGTCTGACGTGCGTGTTTTTTTGAAATTTTTGTAAAAGTTCTCATGAACATTCCAACGTTCGACTAAAACTCGAGTTTTTCATAATTGACGGCCTGGGATTTTCCCGCAATAATATCATTTTTTGGATGGATTGTCCTAAAGGGGACTGATAAATTGGTAATTTTAGGTTTTTATCATTACAGGTAGTGGCAGGTGATGGAGAGAAAAATCTCATTTGTTCATCTTTGAGTGTTTCTGTTGTGCTGTCCATGCTAACGTATGGAGCTCGTGAAAAAACCGAAGGAGAATTAAAGTCAGCCCTGCATTTTGATGATGATGACACTGTTAATAAGAATGGTCATCAATTACTAATCGACACCTTCAACGTAAGTATGACTTATACTCATTCCAATGTTAATGATAAGTTATCTTTCTCAGAATTTTCAACTTCCAGGCGTTCAAAACCGTTCAACTTAAACTAGCCAATCGGATATTCGTGGCTGATTATATCAAACTCAAACCTAAATATCAAGAGATAACAGAAACATATTTTCGATCTGTGACTCAGAATGTTAACTTTGAGAATTCCGTTGAAGCTAGCAACACAATCAACAGATGGTGTGAGGAAAAAACTAATGCTCGTATTAAAAACGTCGTTCTACCAGGTAACGCGTCATTATCTGCAGAGAGATAAATGTTTTTCAAAGTTGAATGAATCACGCCGAGAAAATGATAGTAAAGTTAAAAAATTCGATTTCATTCATTTCACACATATAACGAAGAATTTGCTGTTTTTTAAATGTAAATTTCTTTGCAGGGGATTTAAATTCCAATACTGCACTCATCCTCGTCAACGCGGTTTACTTCAAAGGAAATTGGAAGGACACATTTGATGATATTCTCACGGTACCAAAACCATTTCACATTGATGAAAATACAACCAAAGAAGTACCTATGATGCACAGGGAAGGAAGATATAAATTGAGTAACCTGTCAGAACTCAATGCAACATGCATCGAACTTCCCTACGAGGTAAATCATAAATTCAATCATCAAATAGAAAATTATTTTCATAATCCACTCTTCCAGAGCAACGATGAAACAGATGCTATGAGCATGTTTATAATTCTTCCTGACAAAATTGATGGCCTGAGAGATATCGAAAATAAACTCGACAACATGGATTTTCTCGAACTGCACAAGAATCGATCCTCCTCACGCTCGATTGATTTACAATTACCTAAATTCAAGATTGAAAGTACTATCGATTTAAATCCTGTTCTTGAAAAGGTGAGTGGAGGATGTTTGGAATTTCGTTCTACTTTGGATGAGGAAAATTTGTATTCAACGTTTTGTTGCAGATGGGAATGGGGAACATGTTCGAAGGCAGCGCGAACTTTGAAGGCATGGCAGATTCTCCATTATCAGTCAGTAAAGTTATTCAGAAGGCGTTTATAGAAGTAAATGAAGAAGGGAGCGAGGCTGCAGCAGTTACAGCTGTTATGATGCTGCGATGCAGCATGCCTCTCCCATCGATGCCTGTTATTGTGGATAGGCCATTTTTCTGCACAATTGTCGCTAAATACACTGGCACACAACTTTTCTCCGGTCGCGTTATTGATCCGAGTATTTAAATCTTTAGATTAAAATTGGGTAGAGGTAGAAGTTTCTATTTTATCGTTGAGAGTGTTTACGATTATTCATTGTTGTAGGATTTTCCTAGACTAAAAAAATGAAAAATCCTCGTAGGACTTTGAGATTATTTTTTTTAAACAATTGATATTTTATCTGTCTTTTGACAACTCCGCCGAATGCTTATTGTCTTCGTAAATTGAAAAGCTTGTTAATTGTGATTTCTGTTTGATTTAATGTAACACACGAAGATGAAAAATAAATACTATTAATGTAGCTGTTATTCTGCTTCATTCATTCGTCCTCGCATAATTATTACAGAAATTTCGGAAACTTGAAGTTATCGACGTCATCATCTATTATGGTAGCATTTTTTAAATCGTTTGTTCCTATCCAAAAACCTATGCGTGTACCACCTACTACAAATATGAGAGTGGCTTCGGGATTCATCGGGATTTCTCCCACTCCTGTGTTACGTCATACGAACTCAGAAGCAACAATCGCATGCCATCATTCTACGCAACTGAAAAGTAATGATGGCGACTTTAGACACTGTACACATCGTCGCCGAAAATATTGAAAAATTCTCATCACTTTTTTATAAGGCAAGTTTTTTGAGTTTCAAAATAGTATACATCGATAGAATATGAATGGAAAATTTACACTTTCCCATTGTTTTCTGCTTATTCTAATTATAATAATTTCGGACAATAACTTGTAACTGCTTATTCACTGCTGTACGCGTTCTTTGAGTTGGTACCTAACGAAAGCTAACTGTTTTATGATTTCAGATATTGGCAGAGAGCAAAGACGAAAATCTAATATGTTCACCGCTAAGTGTTTCTGTACTTCTGTCAATGTTAACTTATGGAGCACGTGGAGCTACAGGAGAACTATTGAAAGCAGTACTGCATTTCACTGATGATGATACGACCAATAAAAATAGTTATCAAACACTCATTGATTTCTTCAACGTAAGTTTTTCTTTTTGTCGAGAGGTGAAACCAAACATTTTCAGGAGAATATTTATTTTACAGGCAATCGAAACCGTTCAACTCAAACTTGCTAATCGTATATACGTGGGGAACGATGTAATCATTGAACACGATTATCAACAACTCACAGAGACTTACTTCCGGTCTACCATTGGCAATGTTAATTTTCATAATAAGGAAGAGGCTTGCGCGATAATCAACTGTTGGTGTGAAGAAAAAACGAATAATCGTATAAAAAATGCCATAAGACCAGGTGAGTTACGGGCCAAACAATTCTATTCTACATATCGATTCTATAAATTTGTTTAATTGTGTAGAATAAGTATTCTGTGGAATCTTTGTTTGTTTTAGAAAATATTGCACATGACATGAAAATGGTTATGGTCAATGCAATTTACTTCAAAGGGAATTGGAAGAATAAATTCAATGCCCTGAACACCACCCCAAAAGCATTCCACATTGACAGCACGCATTCCAAGCGAGTACCGATGATGAGAAAAACAGGAAGATATAAGTTCAGTATAATTTCAGAAATAAATGCTAGATGTATCGAACTCCCCTACGAGGTAAGAATATTGAAATGATTTTGAAATGCTGTCGAATGAAAGAATATGTCAGCCGACAATTATCAATGAGATAATTATTATTTATCAATGCATCACCGATTACATGATTGATTTTTTCAGAGTAACAGCGAAAAAAATGCCATGAGCATGTATGTATTTCTTCCTGACAAAGCGGATGGTCTGAAAATATTGGAAAATAAATTTGATGAAATGAACATCGTGAGATTGCATGATCAAAGGGGTTTCCACACTGATGTGAATTTGGAATTACCTAAATTTACAATTCACAGCACTATGAGTTTGGGTGCAACTCTTGGGGCAGTGAGTATGAGATTTTCCTTGGATTTCAATCCAACTTTAATGCAACAGAATTAACTGACGTTCTGGGTTTCAGATGGGATTATCAGATATCTTCATAAATGGTGCCAATTTTCGAGGCATATCAACTACTGAATTAAAAGTCAGTGAAGTAATTCAGAAAGCATTCATCGAAGTCAATGAAGAAGGCAGTGAAGCTGCAGCTGTTACATTTACATCGATGTGCTTTGGAAGCTCCGCACCGGCACCTCCGCCAATAAGTTTTGTTGTAGACAGACCATTTTTTTGTGCTATCGTTGCCAAATACACAGGGACAAAACTCTTCTGTACGCGCGTTACCGATCCCACAATTTAAATATTATTCCAATGAATTATTCACGGATGATCCATATCCACCAAACCACATGTACACAGTTGACTGGTACGTTTGTTTTTTTAAATTATCTTATTAAGAACATCGTTTGTAAATGGCCTCAATAAAATAATTATCCTCGAAAAAGTTATCATTTTTCTAGTCTTCTAGAATTGACGAAATTGCTTTTAACTCCACCGAATCTATACTTGATACAAGCAACGCAGAAGATAAAAATCTAAGCAAAATTATTAATTAATACTGACACAATTGTTCAGTCAGGCTATTTTTAATTGGGTCAGCCATCTTCGATTGAAGAAACCCATATATTGCCATCGAATTTGATCAATAACGATTTGTTTTGATGTTTTTATGGATTATGTGAAGACAATCTGAGGGCTTTTTCTCATTGATGTCGTAAATTGAATCGCCCACAGCCATAATTAACTTGATAACATGGAAAATATTTCTGAAAGAATTACTTAATTAAATTTTAGTACTCTAATGGACTTGTTTTCGATTTTTCTATGAATTACGTTGACTTCGGAATATCTCTCCTTTTCAACTTTTGAGTGATATCACATCATTACTTGACTGCGTCATAAATCAATATTGATCCGATTTATCAATGTCGCTTAGCAGTTCCGAAAAACGTGTAACATATGAATGATCGAGATCACGATGATATCCTTGATCCAATCGTATAAAAAGAGATAATATTGTAGTAATTGACACACATGTATTAAAAACTTGGAAGTATTCACATTGAATCCTCATCATGAAACTAGGTAAGAACATATCAAAATATATTTTACCTTTGCAAATCCCTTTCTTAAGATTCAATATCCAATATTTATCATACAGTATTCCTTATGCTCGCCTTCTTGGCATTGCATAATTATACAAGAGCGCAAATCGTATTTCCTGGACAAGTGTCTCAACGCCGCAATCAATATGCGTCCACCCAAAGCTTAAAAAATAGGATCAACAAGTTTACGATGAGCTTATTCAAGGTAAAGAATCAATTATGAAAAATATTATCAATCAAGATGGATTAATCGTTGCAAAACTATGATCAGAATATCTTGGAGAAAGAATCCGGAAATTTTGTCACTAGTCCACTCAGCGCATATCTGGTACTTGCTATGACAGCATATGGAGCTAAAGGCACAACACGAGACGAACTATTACAAGTTTTGGATCTACCGTATGACAAGGAGTCAGCAAAGAGTCTATTGCATGTTATTAATAGCGTCAAGGTGAGTAAGAACCATGAAAAGAGAAAGAAAAGAAAAACTGAATATGACCCGCAATTATTTCAGAGATACTCGACGGAATCACTATTACGGGTCGAAAACCGAATTTTCGCAAAGCCGCACCTTTCACTCAATAGATATTATCAGGCACTTCTTCAAGGGGTCTTCCAATCTTCTGTGCAAACCGTTGATTTCGGAAATCCTTCTGAAGCTGTTAACATCATAAATGCCTGGTGCAGGCGTGCTACTTTTGGATTCATTGATAAAATTGTCGATGACAGTAAGTGATGATCCTATGGGCATTATCACAATACAAAAAGTGGTCTATGCTATTGCAAAAGTATTGAAATTTCATAATATTCTTTAACGCGGCCTTTTATTATAGCGATAGATCCTACGACTGCCCTCCTACTCGCCAATTCCGTGCTTTTCCAGGGTAAATGGAAAATTCCATTTTCTTCGAGGGATACATATTTACGTCCATTTAAGGTCAATGATACCATTACTAAAGATGTGCCAACAATGATTCATGAAGAAGATGTACTGATCGGAAAACTTCCTCACCTAAAGGCTACCTTCATTGGTCTTCCTTACAAGGTAAAATGTGACTCATCTTTTTTTTTTAATAAATTTTCATATTATAAAGATGTCAGTTCATTCTATTTTTTTAATCGTGCGTAGGACGGTGATAAACCAGAAGAAACAATCCATATGTATGCTATTTTGCCTGATCGTCCAGAGTATTTAACCATAACCGAACGGAATATTGGTCGTCTTACTCTTGCGGATCTCCAGAACGCAAAACTTTTTGAACGAGAAATACGTTTACCCAAAGTTAAAATTTCGAAAAATTTGAAACTGCGCGATTATCTTATGGCGGTATGATACAAGCATCGATATTTCACTTATATTATTTATATATTCGGACTAAAATTATTGTTTTTGGGCAGATGGGGATTAAGCAGGCTTTTTCAAAAGACGCAGATTTCAATGGAATGTTCAACAACGCTAGGAAGTTGAGTATTAGTGATTTAGTACAGAAAACATTACTTAAGGTGGACGAGGAAGGAACAATAGCTGCTGCTGTTGCATGTAAGTAGTTAATTGAGAGTAAAAAGTTTCAAGTGGTTTTGACTTGGATTTGAAGTGACATTGTTACTGATATATTTTATCAATTTATTTAGGGGCACCTCTTACCAATAAGATTGGAAGCCTGCCCTTGGTCTTCGATCGACCTTTCCTTGTAGTTATTGCCACGAACGATGTTATTTTGTTTGCTGGTAAAGTAACAGACCCATCGGTTTCTGAATAATGAATACTGTTGGAATTATACTGTTGTGTTTTGTGAAGTTGTATTTCACCAGTATTTTTTAAAAGAGTCTTATAGAAATTGATTAGTTGGTTTTCCATTTTTCGAGTGAAAAATTGGAAATGTTTCACAATGTTACATGAAATTTCTCCAGAATTTTTTATTGACGAATCAGTCAATTTTGCAAGTATTCAGGTAATTCCCTCAAACGAACGGATCCGTTCGTTTGAAATAGTCAACTCATAACTAAAACCTTGCAGATTTATGTGCAATTTCCGACGTAATGTTAAAATATCCATGGACTACTGGTAAGTAATTTGCAATTGAGTTCAAGTAAATGTCATTACTGAAGCCGATGTTAAAGATAATAAAATAATGAAATAATAAAACTTGAATCGTTGTTGGTAATTCCATTGTAGAATAAAGAATTCACCGAAAATTTCGCAACGAATATGATTATTTAATTGTCTAAAGCGAAATCCCCTAAGTTTCTATTACCCTTTAAGAAAAATTGAAACGTACAATTGGCAGTTCTGTCCGATTTTTCGATTTTTCGAAATTTTCAGTTTTCCCTCAAAACATTAAATTGAAACACGACGAAAATTGTTGGAATATCACACGGAAAATTCATTCAGAAATTCTGAACAGCTTTCAGCGTACAGCTTTCTATTAAATAATTCATAACAGAAATTTATACAGTAGACCTTTGGCGTTCCCTCTTAATGAGCCTTCACCCCCAATACAACCCAAAAGCCACTGGGAGTTTGAATCGATAGTTTCTCACGTATGAACATCCTCAGGCGTATGTACAGCCAAACCGGGAAGCAAAGTATCTGATCAGCCAATTCATGCACCCGACCTTGTTCAGTGCACTGCAATGAATTTCACTGAAGAATTCACACGATTCTTATCTCTTGCGGAGTGCATCTTTCTCATGCTAACTCACTGGTTGCTGCGATAGCTATGCACGATTACACAAATCTAATCACACTATACGAAACGCCAAGTCAAGATGCTCAGAGCAAATTAAGGTAATTTGAAAGTAGAACCTGAGAAAGTATGTTGAGGACTTGGTTGGATTCTGCTGTACGTTGTACAACAATTGAATCAATGATGCTAAATTATGGGGAAGATTACCACAAAACTTGTGGGGAAAATGTGAAAATCCAATTCGAAATGAAAAAGCACACTGTTCGAAAATTTTCCAAATCACTTGCCAGTGAATTTCCAATGGAAATTCCAATTTTCGATTCTCAACGAGATACTGAATATGATTTTACACCTATACAAATTCCTAAACTATTTGTTAGGTTTTTTGTTTGACCAGGATAACTTTCTAATCTGGGGGACGACCCTGGGGGCAACCCACGAACGACCAACACGTTGCTATCTAACATCAGACATGTCTTGTAGAAAACAATCTTATCCAATTGTCTCCGTAAATTGAATCAGAAAGCCGATAAATTATCTTTCTATTCAAGAAGAAATTTTACCGCTGGACATTGGAAAAATATCATATTCTCCAACTAACTTGATTTATTTGTTTTATTGCCCATCGGCCTGCATTGACCGTGACTTCAACTAAATTTTTCTAACAATTGAGAAATTGTGAGTGAAATTTCTTGAGATTGTTAACCGAGTGGATGAATTCCTGAGGAAATTGCCCCAGGGATTTTTGGCGATTGCGTTCCATGCTGAGGAATGCCGCCGGTGCCCCGAAATCGCGGCGCTAAAATAGCCGGTTGCTAGTATATAGCTGCTATATAGCGAGTATATAGCGTGTTGAAAAAGTTAAAAGTGCTGGTTCGTTTGCCAGCACTGAATCCCCCGTTTTATAAACAAGTTGTCTGAAGTGGATATTCAGAATTTGTCGATTTTTCGAATATTTGGAAGTTACCGAGAAATTTTTAAAACAACATTTTATTCCGATCCGTCACATAAAATATGGCATATGAACGTTTCGATAAGAAAGTTTTGATAAGAGAGTCAAATAAAGGCTGATTACAACCTCATCATAATTGTAAACCAGCTTTTATCGCTGCCCGTTCTTCTGTGATAATAATGCATGTCCCTTGAAAATTCATTATCGTATTTAACGCTTCAGCAGAAATCGTTAAGACATCGGAAATGAAATTCGAACTTAAGTGCAACAACTTCATCTCAACTTCAATCGCATTCCTCCGATTTCACCTTGATAAAATATTGTATCAGTATGAATTTCGAACGAACTTCAAACCTTGAAAATTCTTTTATCAAAGCAATTACCAGCATGCACGCACGCAACCCGAAATTTGTTATAATTGGGCCCATTAGTAATATCATTAAAAATAATGCCGAGAGAAGAGTTCTAATATTGTTTTTGCCATGGAGAGCCATTGGGATCGAAAATAGATAATAAATAAAATCAATAGTTTAAAAATTGATGTAATCTAGGGATCAGAATAAAATTGTAAGATAACTGTTAATTTTCCGTGAGCCATTTCTAAGCAATTATTTAAAAAAACATCATTGGAAACAAAAAAAATATTTCCAAGTTGCAGAACAAAAAAGCTAAAACTTTGGGTGAATATTAAAAAAAAATAATTTCCGGCATTACGTGCCCGCGAACTAGCCTCTAAATTCCATAATTGTAGGGTTCCTCCGTCGTTGAATTTACTGAACAACTAAAAATCCCTAAAAATTCGGAACAATTTGCCAAAAATTTGTATTTTCTCCTCTCCGGAAGATCACGTGATTCAGTGATTATATATTTATTTTTTATCCGACACCGGCAGCGGTACACACTCACGTAAATTGCATAATGATTCACATTGAATAATTGAATTGTACAAAAAAAAAAAATACCGTTGGATAGCGCGTGTCACATGAGAAACCTTCGCCTTGACCTTGAGCAAACCCCCCTCGTTCATCCTAGTAAAGGTGAACCGGAGAAAAAGAGAGAGGCCTCTTCCAGGGCTCGTGCGCACGAGTCTGCGTGTAATGCTCTGTTTCCGGACTTGCGTAATACTATCGCACTACCAACGATAACCGGAAAAAAAAATCCATTCAGGTTTATTCTATTCCTCAATCAAAAATATAAATTCCAATCAGAAACATGTCCTGACGAATCGAAAACGAATTTTTGAATCAGCAATGCATAATCTCGAATTGAGAAAACGAATTCTAGAATGGAAATATATATTTTAGAATCTGGAATATGAATTTTTGAATGAGGAATAAATAATCTCGAAACGGGAATATATATTCCGCAATGGAGTTTATTCATATATTTTTTTTTTAATTGGGTTTCTTATATTTTTTTCTTTTCCGTGGATATTCATTCTTCGATGAGAGTTTTATTTCTCTTTAAGGAGAATCCTCAGAAAATTCTAATACCCCTTGCCGGACGTTTTCTTCAACTAACTACATTTCATCCCAACTATTATGTAATCGGGCATAATGGAAGGTGGGCGAGGTTGTTCATTATAGCAACTAGGTCTTTTGTGAGATGCGATAACTCTGAGAAGACGATATTCATGAGAATCAACTTTTGCAAAAACTATGCCATTCACTGTTAAATATTATAAAAAATTAAAAAATAACAAAAGCATTTGCTCAATTCTTCGATTGTATCTAAAATTTCACTCTTCATCAGGAGTTTCAATATTTTCACAATTCACAATGTGAAGCCTATCGTGAAGAGTTATCAAATCCTCAATTGAATTATGAGTAGATTAAGAATTCAGCGCAAAAGTAATCCGAATATTCGCTAATCTCAACAATTTCCTGAGCCCTGTCCGTTAAAAATTCGAACTCACCCTGAATACTGAAAGAATTAAATCATTCTCCGACAAGAACGTGCATAAAAATAAAATGACAGCAACTCGATATCAAGAACAGCCGTATAAATTTCCTAACAGTCGAGGTATAATCTTATCGCAATAGATTTTTACCGAACGCAATACCGAGGTGAGAAAATGCCATACGATACAGAAAAGCAATTCTGCTACATAGACTCAAGGATTAAAATCGTGCGAGATAGCACGTAGATATAGAATTGAGAACAAAGATGTTGCCGACGACAACGAGTGTGGGAGTGTCTACGAGATCTCGTCAATTTCATCACGATCAAAACAACCAGGAGCAAACTCAGCCTCTCCACAAAATTTAATTTCCGCCAATAAACACGTTATAAATCACATCCTGCTTATTTGTCCCACCAAATTGAATTGATTAATCCATGGTGAATTCACTGACTGGGTGGAGTACGAAAGTAGCAATTAAATTCATCAGAAAGAAAGACGTCTAGCAATTTAGAAAATTATTCTTGGACGCGCTCAGTGATTTCTACACAAGACTCACACGAATATGCTCGACCATGCAAGATTGCGTTACAGTTATCACGTTCCACCCCTCAAGATCCGTTCAACTTCCTAAGACTCGATCTTTCAGTTATTATTTACTTTTTTCTATTTAAATTTGAGTTATGCATTATTCCGTATGATCCAGTTATCGTGGAATAATTAATGTCTGAATATTGTGCTTTCGAAATATACATCACGAACCGACACAACCTAGCCAATGTAATTGTTGCAAATGAATTTAAAAGAGGCAACCTATCAATTAGTGAGAATTATAATGGTACACTATTCCAATGATGCTAATGCAACTGAATCAGTCACGAATTGACTTACTATCGGTTCGCTGTCTTTTCCGACTGGAGAAATATTTCATCATTAACCCATATCCATTCGAGATGAGATGAACGTGATTACAAGCCACTTACCTGGAACAAAAAATAATAAATCAGTTATTTAACATGCTATGATTATAAAAATATAAATATTACAATCTTGAGTATGAATAATTAGTCATCTTAATGTTGAAGCACTAGTTCAATACTCGTTTCTGGTTAACAAGTTTCTTGTGAATGTGCACTGGGTGCACGTGGACGAGATATTCATAAATAGTATTGACCTAGGACCGGGTGACGCTCGGACTTTCACCTCTTCTATCCTCCACAGAGTCATATATCAAAGCGAGATATGATTTTTTGCTCTACTAAGAGAAAGCTATCATCTTTGTTGAGGTTGTCCTACTATTCGCGGAAAGGGGCGCACCGGAACATTTTGTTCGCTGGTGAAAAATTTTTGCGGTATCAGCTTTGAAATATCAAACAACTCGCAATTGCACTGAACTTTACCGAACTTTCATCATTAAAAATTCAGAGTTCTCAGGAAAAAATGGATAGAAACAGGGATTTAATGTCGAATGGGCCTCTTGAAAATTAGTGAAATTTATGGAAATTCTGGAAAATATATTCATAAATTTGTAAATTCAATGAGGTTAATTTTTTACTAGTGTTGGAAGCAAACTGGATAAACACCATTTGACATTGGAAATATTGACTGCATTC